TGGGTACTTTCGGGAGCCATGGTGCTACTTCCCGCAGTCCAGGAGGTAAAAATTGCGTTGCTAAAAGATCCTTTGTCTCAGTGCTAATTTTTCTCACTCAGGAGGCCAGGGTGGGCTGAGAACCTGGGGATTCCTGGACACAGGCTCTGCGGTGGGGATTTGCCTGCAGGGGCAGACTGGGGCACGCTTTCCACTGAAGGTAACTCCTTGGTGGGGGGTGTTTCAGCTCTGAGCCAGCTGAGGCTGGTGCTCCTGGCAGCTGGCAATGAGTGTCTGGGTCTTGGAGCAGGTCTGGGTGGAGCCTGACAGCGTCAACTGCAGAAGGAGACCTGCTGACAGCAGATGCCCAGCTGTGGCATGCCTTGGAGGCAAGCCTAGGCCCCAGCTTTCCAGAGAGGACACGCTAGCTGGCCCTGCCAGCCTTGTCTGGGCATCCAGGCCCGGTAGGGCTTGACTATCCCTGGCAGGGGTCAAGAATGCTAGGCACGGAGACTGTCCTGTCTCTGGCTGGGAGCCTGGCATGGGTGAGGTGGCACGTGCAGGCTACCGGAGACCTGAGTGTTAGCATGGGGGCTGGCTCCCTTTCACCCAGTGTCCCTGATGCATGGGCAGTCATCCCCCAAGTGGAGTTCCCCTCCAACCCCTCCAAAGCTTTCATTGTCTCCTTCTACAAGAGTAGGATGTTGGTATGCTTGTGTTCGGAGAGGCCCCCTATGTGCAGGTACCGCCTTATCCCACGGTGTGGACAAGGATATGGGCAGAGGATGCTTACCCAGGCTCTGGGATCTACCGGTAAGTGTGCCAGCACCTTTAGTTCATATTGTCACCTTTCCTTTCTGTGTAGCCCAGGACCAGGCCATTGTCTGCGTTGGGCACCGGGTACAACAGCTCGGTTTGGAGAGGGCTGGTGCCTCCCAGGATGGCAGCGAAGCCGCAGCAGCCTTGTGACCAGCACAGGGCCTGAAGATATATTTTTCCGAGGCCTGACAGACCACTCTCTAGAGAGGTCCTTATGGACCCATGGGAAGAAGGGATCCCTGCCCACTCTATCCAGAAGAAGCCTCGGCCCCCTCACCACTCAGAGCTCCCGGACAGCCCTGCCTGTACTCTGCTGGCACCCCTGTCTCCCCTCCCCTGGGTCAGCCCACCCAGTATCAGGAGGCAAATGCTGGGAAGCTCCCACCAGCCCCAGCTGAAAGCAGAGGGCCATTGAGCCCAACCCAGAGAGTGCGGGGATATGAGCGCACCCCAGGGTGGTGGCTGAGCTCTGAGAGGGTGAGGAGAGCCCAGAGTGGACAGCAGACATGGCACTGCCTCTGCTCAGTGGCTTCAGGTGGGGCCGGTGCAGCCTGGCCTGAGTGCCTGCTGAGGGAGCAGGGCTTCTGGGGGTGGGGGCATCGGCCCTGGGAACAGGCAGTTGCTCCAGTTCTGAACTGAATGTGTGCATCAGTGAACAATTTTGTGTGTACATGTGTGAGTGGCACGAGTACATACCCATGAAAGATGTGTATGAGTAGATGGGTGCATGTGTGTGTGTGCTTGGATGAGCGAATGAAATGCATGAAGTGAATGAAGGTGGGGTGTGTATGAGTGATCAGTGGCGTGTGCACAGGTATGTGTGTGAGGGAATGTGAATGCTCACGTGTGGGACCAGGTGACTGTGGGATACAGGACTCATCAGTGTGGGTCTCTGGAGGAGGTCTGCTTTAGGGGAGCCAGGGATACCCACCCATCCTCCACTCACTACCCCCACCCTCTCTCCTTATTCCCTGTCTTTTCAGCGCAACCCAGGGCAGGACAGGTCGGGCCTCAATCTGGAGCCAGGGAGAGGTGGAGCCGCCCATCGCTGTTGCTCCCACCAGGCCCTCCATCCCGCTGAGGCGCTTGCGACCTCAGCCACAGGTGTCCTTCCTGGCGAACGGACAATGGGCAGAGCGGAGCCCAGCGGCCTTCCCGGAGGAGGTGACTGGAGCCGGGCAGGCGGGCGGCGCGCATTCCTGAGCCCTGAGTCAGCGCGGCCGCCCCCTCCGGCCGGGCCCGCCCCCAGCGCGCACGCCCCTCGCTTCATGGCATTCCCGGGCGGGCGGGGACTCGGCGCGGGCGCCCTCCCGGCCTAGCAGCGGCAGCCCCTCCTCCCCGGCGCCCTCCGGACCCCCCAAGGACCCCCGGCGGCGGTGAGTGAGCGCGGCCGGGAGCGCAGGGCTCCGCGGGCTGGCAGGTTCCGGGGCTGCGTCCGTCAAACACGGGGTGCGTCCTCAGCACCCGGTGGCCGGAGCTGCTCTGAGCGGCCGGGGCCCTGTCGGGGCCGGGGCCGGGGAGGGATCGCAGCGAGCCCTGCTGGGGCGGCAGGACTTTTCTTCCCGGAGTTTCCCGAGTCACCCGCGGAGGCGGCCCAGCCCCGGATTCCTATCTCTGAGCGCCGCAAAAATAGCCCGTGTCCGGATTAGCAGTCCCAGCGGCCTGGCTGGGCCGGACAGCTCGGCTCCAGCCTCCGCCCAACAGCTGAGGGTCCCAGGAGCAGGAGGCTGAGTCCGGGGGTGCCCAGGCTCCTCTGAGCTCCCACCCCCCTCTACATTTTCCTTCCTGGCCAACACCGGTAGGTGGTGTCTCCAAGTCGAAACTCCAGCTCAGGGCGGGATCGTCCCTGTCCCAGCTGCCCTCACAGACGGGAATAGCCAGAGCAGTGGAGCTGGGGGTGGGGGACTGACTCCACCTTCTGCCCCAGGGCACTGACTCCCCCATCTGTAAACATGGAAACTCCAGGGTGGGCTAGGAGCGACTCCCGCAGACAGACCCTCACTCTGTGCCAGAGGCCAGCAGAGACAGGCCTTCTCCCAGCTGGGGTGACAGCCAGACCCCAAGTGCTCAGGGCACTGGCAGAGGGGTGGCTGTCATGCTGGGGGCGTGTTTGCGGGGCTGGGTCCGGAATGGGTGGGGAATCTTCCCTGGCCCCCCAAAGCCTGCTCCCAGCCCAGATGGTCCTGACCAGAGTTACTTCTATGCGTGCAGCTTGAGACTGAATGTGTCTGTCTGGGTGGGTGGGGTCTAGTTCTGGAGGCCCTACTCCTATCCTGGGAACCCCCACACCCCCAACGGGACTTCCTGTTGGAGACCGGGAGAAGATTCAAGGATGAAACTGGCTTTTCAGGTTTGACCCAGCTAGATGCCTAGGCAGTCCCATGCTGGGTTCTCCCGCCCCTGTAGAGCCAACTGCAACCCCCTTGCCCCCACCCCAAGGGTGGGCGGAAGACAGGAATCAAGGAGCTGGCTGGGGCTCAAGGGGTCCCTGAGGCCGAGCCAACCAGGGATCATTCTGGGCAAGCTGGGTCCCTTTTCCTGAGAAAGGGGCAGTGGTCAATGGGGTACATGGGAGTCTGGTGGTCTCAGATTGCAGGCACTGGGGCCTCAGACCCTTTCCCAGCCCTTCCAAGCAGCCTTCACTGGCTGGCTGGCTTCCACTGCACAGACAGGCCCCCAGAGTAGGGTGGGGGATGGCTGTCATCCCTCAACCAGCACCCCTCATGAACTGGCTCTTGGTTCGGGGGGAGTCACCCAGGTCTCCCCTGTTTTTCAGGATCTTCCCAGCTATAGTCCCTGCCCAGGGTACCCCTAGTTGCTCTTGGCTGTGAGGGCCTCCCCCAGCACTGGCTCCAGATCCCCCACTTCCGTGTCTGTGCCAGGATCACAATTTGCCCAATGATTGAATTCCTTGGCTCCTGCCTGTGTTTTGAGTTGGATGATTTTGGGGGTGACTCCTTCCTCCTTCAACTGAGATGCCCCTGATAGAGCAGGTGGCATGGGGTCTTAGAGGGGTCTGACAGCCCTCCACAGCCACGAGGCTGAATAACCCAGGTGTTCTGCTTTGTCCTCTGGGGTCTGCAGCCAGGGGCAGCTGGGGCAGGCAAACAGAGTCCCTTCCACCACAGCTCCTGGGCAGACCTGGCCCAAGGCTTTGAACTCCCTTAGAGGCTCTGAGACCTTAGGCAGTGATGGGCTTCTCTCAGCCTCAGTTTCCTTATCTGTAAGATGGATACAGAGTACCCACTCCCAGGGGTTAGACAGACCACTGTGTTCAGTCAGGATCTGGTTTGAGGAAGGTGAGCCAACTGCTGAGTACTGAAGCCATTTCTGCTCCGACTTGGTCCAGTCCTGTCTTGCGGCTGCTGGGTCCCAGGAGGGGGTTGTGGGTTACTGAGCCCAAGGGTGCCTGGGCACCAGGGAGCGTGTGCATAGGGTCAGTCAGGGACACCTCCGGAGGGCCCTGACTGGTGACTGGGCTGCCCATCTGTCCTCTGGCCGGATGTGTGCATGGGGTGTGGGCCTCTCCCACCTCCAGCCTGGGGAGGGTGCTTTCGCCTAACTCCTGGGACCCAGCTAGACTCCGGACTGGGGACTAGAGGTGACCAGCTTACCAGGCAGCTTACACCCAGAATCTGGTGTAGCTAAGTCCTTGCCGTCATCCCGTTTCTGACTGTGCAGCCTGGACAGGTTCCCTGACCTGCCCTTGGTGGCCCCTGCCTCCCAGGTGTGTCTGCCATGTCAGCCCCAACTGAGGCAGGGATTTGGCTCTGGTGATCCTGGTGCCATGGGGCAGCGCCCTACCCCCTCCCCATTGCCGGCCCCTTGACCTTCCTGTGCACTGCTCTCCCCGGTCAGGGCTGGAATGTCAGTGGCATCAGGGATTCCTGTGTCTGCAGGCCCTAGGGTGTCTTCTCTCACAGGTGGCTGGTAGGAAACTTCTTGTTTCCTCTACTTGCCTGGGGTGATGAGGGGAGGCAGGGACCGGTGTGTCCTGCTGGGGAGCTGGGGAGCTTGAGAGGACCCTGCAAAGGTCTCGGGTCTGCCCTGCTCCATCCTGAACCTCCTTTCTTCCACAGAAAGGTAGAGCCTTTACTGGGAGCGTTTGCAGAGAGCCTAGCAAATGTCATTGTCGGCATGATGCCATTAACAGACAAGGCGCAGAGACGGGCCAGGTGACTTTCCCTTCCTGAGGCCGGAGGAGCTGATGCTGGGCTGCCAGACAGCTGGTGACTTTCCCTTCTCAAGGCAGATCTAGGATTGGGCTTCAGATTAGAAGTCAAGCAGAAGACGGGTCAGAGACCAGCATGTGGGTGGAGATTCTGGAGGAGCCACCTCCCCCGGGGTGAGGCTCGGGTGAGCTGAGGACACGTCTGGGCAGGTGTCCTGGGGTGAGGCCCCTTGCTCCAGCTGACCTCGAAGCAGGCAGTTGCCTGGGAGGAGCAGAGCCCAGGCGTGATGGTTCTGGCCCTGGGGTTGGCAGTCCCCTCTGTGGCCGGTTGTCCCTGCCAGTGTGGTCCTGTGAGTGTGCAGGGCAGGCCTGAGCACAGAGGTGGTTGCTGCTCACACCTGAGGGTGCAGCTCTGCACTGGCTGAAGTCACCGTCTGTGCCTGCACTGGCCAGAGCTTCACTGTCTTCTCTTCCCAAACTTGACACCTTTGAAGGGTCCTGTCCCCAGGTGTCCCCGGGGCTGCCCTCTTGTTGCCTATGCTGTAGGGCCCTTTCACACCTCAGCTCCTGCCTCCCAGAGAGCACCCAGTGCCCACAGGCAGCACCGGACACTGTGGTGGAGTCAGCCACTGCCTGTCATGCCAGGTCCTGCTGTGACCCCTGATTTCCATTTGGGAAAGCTGAGGCTTGCTTGGGGCATAGGTGGTGGAGACACGGCCTGAGTGACAGCCTGGGCTGTCCCCAGTGGCCTCCCTGTACCAGCTCCTGCTCCCTGGCTCTCCCTGCACCCGTGCACAGGGCCAGCTTGATGGGTCCAAAGACATCTCCAGAGCAGAAACCAGAGTCCACAGGACTCTCCGGCTACCCACCCAGCCCCTCCACACCAGGCTCCACAGGCAGCCAGAGTGGACTCCAACGTGCATGAGGCCAGTGGCCCCCTTCACCCTCCTCGCCCTCAGCCTCCTCAAGCGCCCTGCCCCCGGCCCCCCAGCTGGTCCTGGGATTCGATGCAGCTTTGGGTGTCCCTGATGGGGCTGGGCCTGGGCTGGCAGCTGTGATGCTGCTGCAGTGACTCAGATGCTGTGTGACCCCAAGCAGTCAGGCCCTCCATGGGCCACAGTTTCCCCCTATACTGAGGGGCCAGCAGAGGGGAGACACTGTTGGGATCCCCCCCGAGGGGCTTTCTGGGAACAAGAGCCCACTGTGCGCCTGGGGAAGGCCTGGACACTGAGCCACTGTCTCTGCGAGGGCAATGTGCTGCTCCCCGGCCAGACTCTTTGTCCCGCCTGGGCCTGCCCCTCCCCACGCCTCCTCTGGCTCTTCCTTTGTGAATCCCACCCACTTGAGGCCCAGATGGGGATCTAGGCACACAGGGGTGGGGCAGGCCAGAACACCCAGCACTGGGAGCAGGGTGAGTCCTCTGCCCACCTGCGGAACCTCTGCCTGCACTGCTAGCACAGGAGGGTTTTTTGGGGAAGTGAGGAACCCCAGGAGAACTGGATGTACAGGCATGGTAGCTGGTGCCTCCCGCATGGGCTGAGCACTCTGCTGTTTGCTGGGGCCGACTTTGGGCCCCAGGCTGAGACGTACTGGGGAGGTCAGGTTCCCTGTACACGCTCGCACTGCCCAGCTCTTCTCACCTCCTAACTGTTCCTGTCCGCACCTGCTCGTGCCAGACAGCTCCTCTTCCCAGACCCGGTCAAGGGGTCATCTTGAGTAATCCTTCATTACCCTAGATACGGACCCAGTGGCCTGGGTTCTGCAGCGATCAGTGTTCACCCAGCAGTGGCTTCAGAGCAGGCCAGTCCTGAGCCCTGTGGAACCAGCAGTGACAGGACAGTGGCCCATCACGTGTGAATGAACTCCCTTGCTGTGCTGTGCTGTGTTGTGTCTGGGAATCCAGGCCAAGACCACCTTCGGGGAGTGGGGCAGCCTGAGGATGCAGGTCCTCGAACACATGGGAGGGCGTGCAAGGCGCAGGTGCAGGCTCTGAGGGAAGGGAGTCAGCTGTGAGGAGCCACGGAAGTCATGGATGTGTGTGAGCTGATCAGCTGGCAAAGGTCTCTGTTGGCAGAGTTCGCTCACACTCCTGAATGAAGAACCACCTGGGTGCGGCCTAGTGCTGCTGGGCACAGGTAGAGACTCCTGGAGAGGATGGACCCCTGGATTCAGCCTGCTGGTTCCTGGCAGTGGCCCCCGTCTCTGCTCTGGGCCCAGCCCCTCTCTGGCCCCATAATGGCCTCACTGGGAACATTCGTCCATGTTCTGGGTGAGAACACGCTGGGAGTGTACACAGGATGCTGTCCCAGCACTGTGGGTTCTGGAAGCCCCTTCCCGAGCACCACCTGGTTTCCCAATGTGCCTGACACGGTCTGAAATTGCACCCTTAGAGTCTGAGACTCAGAGGCAGCCCTCCTGGCTCTTCCTCTCCAGCAGGGTGATCGTACTGCTATCCGTATGCTCTGTAGAGGGAGGGCTTGGGGATGATCAGGAAATTGAGCTGTGACTCCTTGATGCTGTGGGTGGGCTGTATCCAGGACACGCAGGTCTGGGCTGCGTTTGGGCCACAATTCAGATGCAGAACGGTCTCCCAGAGGGACCTTGGCCCACCCAGTTCTTATCAGGACGCCTTCCTGTCTGACCCTGTGGCACTCGGGGGGTCTGCATGGGCCACGGGCCTAGGAGGGACTCCCAGAGATGTGGAGGTAGCTGCTACCCTTGGCCCCTGCACCTGATTCCAGGCCAAGTGAGGGCCAGGGAGAGGAGCTCAGCCTTAGGGGGCCTTGTGGATGGAACAAGCCCTGAGCATCATGCATGGAGAGCTTCCCAACGCTTTCCCCCCATCTCTCACCTGGGAGCTGAAGTGCACAGTCAGCTCAGAGAAGGGGCTGGAGTGTGAGGTGTGGGGTAAGAGCCAGCAGAAGGCATCCCTGAAGGACCCTCTTCTACCTGTGTCTGTTCTGGTCCATGTAGGACCAGTAGGGGCTGTGAGCAGCATTCCCAACCTTTCCCTGGTGGTTCAGGGTCGGAGGAGGCCGTGTGCATCGTCCTGGGCCCGTCCCTGGCAGTAAAGGTCGGAGGAGGCCGTGTGCACCGTCCTGGACCCATTCCTGGCGGTACGGGGTAGGAGGAGGCCGTGTGCATCGTCCCGGGCCTGTCCCTGGCAGTACAGGTCGGAGGAGGCCGTGTGCACCGTCCCGGGCCTGTCCCTGGTGGTACAGGTTCGGAGGAGGCCGTGTGCATGGTCCCAGTCCCGTCCCTGATTGGCAAAGATAGGAGCTGTGAGCAGCATCCTGTGCTGCCCTCCTATGTGACCTTGAGCAGGGAAAGCTTGTGTTCCCTATTTGTACAGCATAGGTGGGGCTTTCCTTCAAGTGTTTGAGAGGGACACCCACGTGTGAAAGCCGTTTCTGGGGCCTTAGTGGGTGGGTTGCAGCTCTTTAAAGAGGTGGAGGAATTTGGGGTTTTCTGTCTAAAGTTGCTTCTGGAAGCTCTGGCCAGCCTCCACAACTGTCTGTCCAGTGGCGTGCTCAGGGGCCTTTCTCAGTTTGGATCTCTGCTGTGATGCCTGTGTGGTCCCCCTGGGTTCAGGGCAGCTGCAGGTCTGCCAGGAAGGTGTAAGGGGGAAATAGAGTCACAGTCACATGGCCAGGCAGTGGTGGCCAGAACGAAGCCTGGCCTGTCTGCTCTGGGGCTTTCCCCTGGGCCCTTGCCCTGTGCCTGGGTGATAGGTTTGGGGTTGGGGCGGGATGTTCAGGGTGAAGCCAACCGTGCACTGCCCTGCAGCCCCAGCACCCAGCTGCCTCACTGCCGTTTCTGGGCACGTTGCGCCACCTGGTGGTCATGCTGGTGTCTGCGCCCAGGTGGTTTCTGGCAAGTCATTTGTGCACAGGAGCCGGGGACCACCAGCTGCTGCCCTGCCATCTTCTTTCCCGAGTATGATGACTCTATGCAGTAGACTGATCACACACCCCTTACAGGCTGTCATGTGCATAGGGAGGCCTTTGTCTCTGGAATAGAAGTCTTGGTGCATAAGAGGGTGAGGGCTGGGTAAGACAGGCCAGAGATTTGCCCTGGGCACAGACTAGGGTGAGCCCTATGTTCCTAAGACCTCACATTGGCTGTTCTCTGTGTGTGGAACCCCCTGCAGCCCCAGCTGTGCTCGCTCCCCTCCTTCAAACCTTTCCTCATATGTCGCCTCACAGAGAGGCTTCACTCCCTCCTGTCAAGCAACCCTAATTTGCTTTTTTTATTTTTTTGAGACGGCGTATCCTGCTGTTGCTCAGGCTGGAGTGCAGTGATTTGATCTCGGCTCACCGCAACCTCCACCTCCCGGGTTCAAGCGATTCTCCTGCCTCAGCCTCTTGAGTAGCTGGGATTACAGGCATGTGCTACCATGCCTGGCTAATTTTGTATTTTTAGTAGAGATGGTTTCACCATGTTGGCCAGGCTGGTCTTGAACTCCTGACCTCAGATGATCTGCCCACCTAGGCCTCCCCAAGTGCTGGGGTTACAGGTGTGAGCCACGGCGCCCACCCCCTGGTTTGCTTTTTTTTCCCCCCATCACACTTAGCATCTTTTAACCAGTACATTCACTTATTTAAAAAGTTCGTTGTATAGACTGCAGTCTCCAGAAGGGCAGGGATTTTGTCTCGTTTCTCCACCAGTGTGTCTCCAACACCTAGAGCAGTTCCTCATCATACTGGGTGCTCAGATAGCTGTCCCATGGACTTACGTTGCCTGAAGACCTAGGATGTGCCCAGCACTGTCTGTTGGGATGAACAAGCCAGGCTCAGAGCAAGTCAGGGCTGAGCATATAGTAAGGCTCTGACTGTGGAGGACATGAGCTCCACAGGTGGGCTTGTCGCTGCTTCTCCCTCCTCCTGGGTTTGGGTGCAATGAATCTTCAGAAGTCGTTACTGAATAACGCACCCCGCCCCGCAGGCCCGCCTCGCTCTGCTGGGAACCATGAGTGAGGCCCGCCGGGACAGCACGAGTAGCCTGCAGCGCAAGAAGCCGCCCTGGCTAAAGCTGGACATTCCCTCTGCAGCGCCCCCGACAGCAGAAGAGCCCAGCTTCCTGCAGGTAGGCCCCGGCCAGCAGGGGCTGTGGGTGCCCCCTGCCCACCACCCTCACTGTGACCCTGTTGCCCAGCCCCTGAGGCGACAGGTTTTCCTGAGGAGTGTGAGTATGCCAGCTGAGACAGCCCACATCTCTTCACCCCACTGTGAGCTCCGGCGGCCGGGGCTGCAGCGCCAGACGTCCATCACACAGACCATCCGCAGGTACTGACAGCATCCAGCTGCTTCACGGGGTGGGAGCTGGGGGCTGGCGGGGCAGAGGCAGGTACACTGAGGATGGGAATGAGGTGGGGGGCCCTCCTGTCTCAGGTCCCCCTCCTTCTCGGTCCCATCCCCTTGCCCTCCTCCTGTTGTGGAGACTGCTCTCACCCCACTCCCCTGCTCCCCTCCCTTCTCTTTGGCACTCACTCTCCTCCTGTCTCCACCACCGGACGCTCTGGCCTCTTAGCAGCCGACAAGTACACTTCAGGCGCATCCACACTCTACCCCTCTTGGGTCCCTGGGCTGCCCGCAGGGCCCTCCCACAGCGCCAGTCTCTCTCTTGGTCCCTGCTCAGGTATCTCATACAGGTCATGAGTGTGGTGTTCTGGCATGTGCTTGGCATGTGGCCCCTTGGGAGCTGCCAGCTTGGTTATCCTCTGCGGTTCCTAATAGCAGGTGCTGGCAGTGTTTCTGTTTGCATGTCCAAGTGCTGTGGACAGCCTGCCTGGGCCCACAAGCACCTGCAGTCTGAGTTCTGTGGTGTCCTGGGGCCAAGCTCCCTCTCTGGACTCTTGTCTTCCCTCAACTGCCCCTCAGGGATGGTGGGGTGAGTGAGGGCCTCTAGGAAGCACTCAACTAGGCAGGCCCTGCCAGCTGTGGTCTAGTGGGAACTTGGAGTTGGCCAACAGTTCACGGGGTGGCTGGAACCCACTCATCCTCTCATTAGACCTTGCCCACCCAGACTCTGGCCCCTGGAGTGACTGCAAGCCTGGGGCAGGGCGTGCTGCCCCCCGGGAGGGCCGCCAAAGTCCCTGCCTGGGAGGGGTGATCTGGATGCTCCTTGCTGAGTTTCTGCCATGCCAGGGGGGCCGCTGACTGGTTTGGAGTGAGCAAGGAGAGTGACAGCACCCAGAAATGGCAGCGCAAGAGCATCCGTCACTGCAGCCAGCGCTATGGGAAGCTGAAGCCCCAGGTCCTCCGGGAGCTGGACCTGCCCAGCCAGGACAACGTGTCGCTGACCAGCACCGAGACACCACCCCCACTCTATGTGGGGCCATGCCAGCTGGGAATGCAGAAGGTACGTCTGCCTGTTGCTGCCTCCTGCAGGCCCCTAATTCTGCTCCCAGGGTCTAGGGCTGCGGACGCAGCCGGCCTGAGCGGCTCTTCGGGCTGAGCACGGTGGCTCACGCCTGTAATCCCAGCACTTTGGGAGGCTGAGGCGGGCGGATCACCTGAGGTCGAGAGTTTGAGACCAGCCTGACCAACATGGAGAAACCCCATATCTACTAAAAATAAAAAATTAGCCGGGCGTGGTGGTGCATGCTTGTAATCCCAGCTACTTGGGAGGCTGAGGTAGGAGAATCGCTTGAATCCGGGAGGCGGAGGTTGCAGTGAGCCGAGATCGTGCCGTTGCACTCCCGCCTGGGCAATAAGAACAAAACTCTGCCTCAAAAAAACAAAAAGAAGAGGCTCTTTGGGAGCTTACAGTCTGGAAGGACAGTTAGACAGCCTGCCCGTGAAGGCCCCTGAAACAGTCCCTGGGAAGGCGTACGTTGGGATGGGGACACGGTCTTGGGATTGCACCAGGGGCCACTGTCTGGATGGGAGAGCATTCCAGGTAGGACCTCTAGGCGCTGTGGGGTGGGAGTGGTGCTCCTATAGTTGGCCAGGGGCCCATGAGGTGTCAGGAGTAGCAGTCACGCTGTCTACTGCAAGGCCTCTGTGCACCTGGGTGAGCTAGGAGCCTGTTTGGTGCTGACCCAGTCCTGACGCCATCGTCTCCCCCCTCCTCCAGATCATAGATCCCCTGGCGCGTGGCCGGGCCTTCCGGGTGGCAGATGATACTGCGGAAGGCCTGAGTGCCCCGCACACTCCTGTCACGCCAGGTGCTGCCTCCCTCTGCTCCTTCTCCAGCTCCCGCTCAGGTTTCCACCGGCTCCCGCGGCGGCGCAAGCGAGAGTCGGTGGCTAAGATGAGCTTCCGGGCAGCCGCGGCACTGATGAAAGTGGGTGCAGGGGCCAAGGGTGGGGGTGGGGGGCCGAGCCAGCAGCCGGGTCTCACGCTCGCTGCCCTGTGCCCAGGGCCGCTCTGTTAGGGATGGCACCTTGCGCCGGGCACAGCGTCGAAGCTTCACTCCCGCCAGCTTTCTGGAGGAGGACACGACTGATTTCCCTGATGAGCTGGACACGTCCTTCTTTGCCCGGGTAAGGAGTGCCCAGGGCATCACCCCGATTCCCTTCATCCCGGCGTCCACCCTGACCTCATGTGTTCGCTCAGGAAGGTATCCTCCATGAAGAGCTGTCCACCTACCCGGACGAAGTTTTTGAGTCCCCATCAGAGGCAGCACTCAAGGACTGGGAGAAGGCGCCGGAGCAGGCGGACCTCACGGGCGGGGCCCTGGACCGCAGTGAGCTTGAGCGCAGCCACCTGATGCTGTGAGTGAGGCAGGCAGGGATGGGGGCAGAGGGAGACCCCGGGCGGCAGGAGCAGCTGGGTGGGAGGCCCCGGGCGGCAGGAGCTGCTGGGCGAGTCTTGGCATTCACCTCTGTGAGTGAGGCAGGCAGGGAAGGGGGCCAGAGGGAGACCCGGGGCGGCAGGAGCAGCTGGGCGAGTCTTGGCGTTCACCTCTGGGGGTGATGGAGGAGGTAGCTTCAGGGACTGGGAACCCACTGGCCACCAGGGCTGGAAGACCCAGGGCTGGGCATGGCCTCGGGGTCATGGCTTGTCTGTGGGATGGGACAGCACTCTCAGAGCCCAGGCCCCTGGAGCGAGGTGACAGAGGTGATACTTGCTGAGTGGCAGAACTCTGTGGGTTCTGGTTCCCACTCCGTGCCATCCCCGGAGGCGCGCAGTATCGCTCTTTTACTGGCAAAGGAGGAGGCAAATTCCGGGGGACTTGCCCAGCGTCTCGCCAGGATAGAACCAGGGTGCCCTGGTGCCCGGGGGAGGGACGACAGCATGTGGGAGCTGGGGCGGGAGGTGAACACCGGCTGCCCCCAGGCCCCTGGAGCGAGGCTGGCGGAAGCAGAAGGAGGGCGCCGCAGCCCCGCAGCCCAAGGTGCGGCTCCGACAGGAGGTGGTGAGCAGCGCGGGGCCGCGGCGGGGCCAGCGCATCGCGGTGCCGGTGCGCAAGCTCTTCGCCCGGGAGAAGCGGCCGTATGGGCTGGGCATGGTGGGACGCCTCACCAACCGCACCTACCGCAAGCGCATCGACAGCTTCGTCAAGCGCCAGATTGAGGACATGGACGACCACAGGTGGGCGAGGCAGGCAAGGCCTGGGGTGGGATGGAGGCTCCGGGGCGGGGACGAGGCCTGACGCTCCGCCCCGCAGGCCCTTCTTCACCTACTGGCTCACCTTCGTGCACTCGCTCGTCACCATTCTGGCCGTGTGCATCTACGGCATCGCCCCCGTGGGCTTCTCGCAGCATGAAACGGTGGACTCGGTGAGCCCCTGTGCCTTCACCGGGCCCGGACGAGTGGGGTCTGGGCTCTGGGTTGAGAGGGCCCACAGTGGGCCGGTCTGATGCTGCTCCCCAACCTCCTAGGTGCTGCGGAACCGCGGGGTCTACGAGAACGTCAAGTACGTGCAGCAGGAGAACTTCTGGATTGGTCCTAGCTCGGTGAGGGCGGGGCAGGGGAAGGGCCGGCGGGGGCGGGACCTGGAGGTGCCAGCTGCGGGCGGGAGGCAGGGACCGCAGCTGTTGGTCTCGCTCCCCCGCAGGAGGCCCTCATCCACCTGGGCGCCAAGTTTTCGCCCTGCATGCGCCAGGACCCGCAGGTGCACAGCTTCATTCGGGCAGCGCGCGAGCGCGAGAAGCACTCGGCCTGCTGCGTGCGCAACGACAGGTCGGGCTGCGTGCAGACCTCGGAGGAGGAGTGCTCGGTGCGTTTCTCCAGCAGGACTCCCCCTCCGACTCCCATCTGCCTGCCCCGAGTTCGCTCTTTGCTTCGGACTTCAGATAGACTCAGTAGAGCGATCCTTGCCCTCGTTCCTGGCACATCCCGCCTCCCCATGTGCAAGGCCGTTCCTGTCACATCCATTCGTCTTTGTCCCCACCCCACCCTCCCCCCCGCCCCCATCTCCAGCTCCTCGCCCGTAGACCGCCATCTGATTTGGTCGTTTGACTTGGGTGTACTCTTCCAGCATGTGTCTTAAAGTTTATGTAAGTGGTATAGCTCTTTTCCACTGAGCAGTTTTGATTTTTTTTTTTTTTTTTTTTTTTTTTTTGAGGCGGAGTTTCGCTCCTGTTACCCAGGCTGGAGTGCAATGGCACGATCTCGGCTCACCGCAACCTCCGCCTCCTGGGTTCAGGCAATTCTCCTGCCTCAGCCTCCTGAGTAGCTGAGATTACAGGCACGTGCCACCATGCCCAGCTAATTTTTTGTATTTTTAGTAGAGACGGGGTTTCACCATGTTGACCGGGATGGTCTCGATCTCTTGACCTCGTGATCCACCTGCCTCGGCCTCCCAAAGTACTGGAATTACAGGCTTGAGCCACCGCGCCCGGCCACTGAGCAGTTTTTAAAAGGCTATTCACCCAAACTTTCATCACATCGTCTTATATGGAGGTGCCATAGTCTATGCCGGTTCCCTGATTTAGGACACAGAGGTTGATGCCGATTTTCAGCTAACAGGAATTATGCTGTCGAACGCCTTGGTTCTTTTTTGTTGTTACTGGTTTTTTTTTTGAGACGGAGTTTCGCTCTTGTTACCCAGGCTGGAGTGCAATGGCACGATCTCGGCTCACCGCAACCTCCGCCTCCTGGGTTCAGGCAATTCTCCTGTCTCAGCCTCCTGAGTAGCTGGGATTACAGGCACGTGCCACCATGCCCAGCTAGTTTTTTGTATTTTTAGTAGAGACGGGGTTTCACCATGTTGACCGGGATGGTCTCGATCTCTTGACCTCATGATCCACCCGCCTCGGCCTCCCAAAGTGCTGGGATTACAGGCGTGAGCCACCGCGCCCGGCCCTTTTGTTGTTATTTTTTGAGACACAGTTTTGCTCTTGTCGCCCAGGCAGGAGTGCAGCGGTGCAATCTTGGCTCACTGCAGCATCTGCCTCCTGGGTTCAATCAATTCTCCTACCTCAGCCTCCCGAGTAGCTGGGATTACGGGTGCGCACCAACACACCTGGCCAATTTATGTGTTTTTAGTAGAAACGGGCTTTCTCCATATTTGTCAGGCTGGTCTCGACCTCCTGACCTCAGGTGATCTGCCCGCCTTGGTCTCCCAAAGTGCTGGGATCACAGGCGTGAGCCACCACGCCCGGTCACTGTCGAACTCCATGTAAGTGTCTTCCAACATGCCTGTGCATTTCAAGAGTATCGATTCATAGAGGGTGACTCGTATGACTGACGGATGAGCTCAGTGGTTTTGTCTTTGACTCCTGACTCACTGAGCGCCCCTCATTGCTCTGACCCAGCTGGGCCTGACCCTGTGTCCCCCTCCCACAGTCCACGCTGGCAGTGTGGGTGAAGTGGCCCGTCCATCCCAGTGCCCCAGAGCTTGCCGGCCACAAGAGACAGTTTGGTTCTGTCTGCCACCAGGATCCCAGGTTAGTCCTGCCACAGTGCTCTTACGTGCTGCCTTTCACACCTTCCAGGGGGCTGTGGTGCAGAGGGTGTAGGGGCTCCCCTTGTTGTTGCCAACTTGGCTGGAAAGGTGTCAAAGCTAGGGGCTCCCAGCAGGGTCTGACCACCTACTTGGCTCATGCAGGGTGTGTGATGAGCCCTCCTCTGAAGACCCCCATGAGTGGCCAGAAGACATCACCAGGTGGCCGGTGAGCTACAGTGGGGGGTTGTTAGGGAGTCATCCTTGTCATGCAGGGAGAGCACCTGCCACACCCACCCACTGGTGATGCCAGAGACTCCCATCATGGGACCACCTCACACTCCCAGATGCTGTGCACCTGGCCGTTGCACAGCCTGTCCATCAACCACCACCTGTCCCTCTGAGCAGGTAGATCAAGAGAACTAGATGGAGACTTGAAAGGTCAAGTGACATTATTCCAGTTTGATGGAGACTCAGAGGGTGGTGGCCTGCTGGAAGTCAAGGAAACCACAGTTTTCTACCTCATGAGCCTGCCCACCTTTGCCTCTACCCCCAAACATGGTGTGTGGACAAAAATTGGGTGGGGCCCTGACCCAGCTCATTCCCATTTGTGACCCAGATCTGCACCAAAAACAGTGCCGGGAACCACACCAACCATCCGCATATGGACTGTGTCATCACAGGGCGGCCCTGCTGCATCGGCACCAAGGGCAGGTAGGCATGCGTGCGTGCACTGGGGTGCGTGTGTGCGTGCGTGCACGGGGGTGCAGCTGGTCGCTGGGCCCAGAGCATCATCCTAGGGCTGCACCTTCTCCCTAACCAAATTCTGAAATAGCTGGGCACAGTGGCTCACACTTGTAATCCTTGCACTTTGGGAGGCCAAGGTGGGTGCGTCATGACATCAGGAGTTCAAGACCAGCCTGACCAGTATGATGAAACTCTGTCTCTACTAAAAATACAAACATCAGCCAGGAGTGGTGGTGCATGCCTGTAGTCCCGGCTACTCAAGAGGCTGAGGCAGGAGAATCGCTTGAACCTGGGAGGTGTGGAGGTTGCAGTGAGCGAAGACCGTGCCACTGCACTCCAGCCTGGGTGACAAAGCGAGACTGTCTCAAAAAAAAAAAAAAAAAAAAAAAAATTCCTGAAATAACCCATTATGCTAAGGGGTGTGGGGTCAGAAGGGGTCTGGACTTCTTCAGGGCTAACAAACGTGTGTAGGTGCGGCTGAAACTTGCCCTGGATGCCAGCAGTACCCTCCACAAGGCAGCAGCCTCCCAACCCTGGCCCGCCCTTCTAGGTGTGAGATCACCTCCCGGGAGTACTGTGACTTCATGAGGGGCTACTTCCATGAGGAGGCCACGCTCTGCTCTCAGGTAGGCCTCCGGGGTGTCTGTCTTTCCCCTCCCCCAGCTGCTGTGAGTGCTGACATGCTGCTCTGCACAGGTGCACTGCATGGATGATGTGTGTGGGCTCCTGCCTTTCCTCAACCCTGAGGTGCCTGACCAGTTCTACCGCCTGTGGCTGTCCCTCTTCCTGCACGCCGGGCAAGTGACACCAGGCTGCGTGGGTGGTCTCAGGGTCCCCAGGATTGGCTGGCTGGGGGTGGCAGAGAGGTTACTTCCCTGCTGAATGTCTCCCCACCCCAACCCCCCACCACCACTGACCACAGGATCCTGCACTGCCTGGTGTCCATCTGCTTCCAGATGACCGTCCTGCGGGACCTGGAGAAGCTGGCAGGCTGGCACCGCATAGCCATCATCTACCTGCTGAGTGGTGTCACTGGCAACCTGGCCAGTGCCATCTTCCTGCCGTACCGAGCAGAGGTAAGGCTGGCCCTCCGGGTGGGGATCCTCCTGTGTGCACCTGCAGCTTGCCGTGAACATGTCCACATGGAGTGTGGAGTCTGGGTCTCTGAAGTGCCCGGCAGGGAGCATCTCCATTTGGATCCTCAGTCCCAATACACTCTAGGCCATGGGAAGTGGGGGCAGAAAGATGAGACCTTGGGTCCAGGGGACCTGCCCAGCCCCACGGCCTTATGGCTGCCCCCACCATCCCCCAGGTGGGTCCAGCTGGCTCCCAGTTTGGCATCCTGGCCTGCCTCTTTGTGGAGCTCTTCCAGAGCTGGCAGATCCTGGCACGGCCCTGGCGTGCCTTCTTCAAGCTGCTGGCTGTGGTGCTCTTCCTCTTCACCTTCGGGCTGCTGCCCTGGATCGACAACTTTGCCCACATCTCGGGGTTCATCAGTGGCCTCTTCCTCTCCTTCGCCTTCTTGCCCTACATCAGCTTCGGCAAGTTCGACTTGTACCGGAAACGCTGCCAGATCATCGTCTTTCAGGTGGTCTTCCTGGGCCTCCTGGCTGGCCTGGTGGTCCTCTTCTACGTCTATCCTGTCCGCTGCGAGTGGTGCGAGTTCCTCACCTGCATCCCCTTCACTGACAAGTTCTGTGAGAAGTACGAACTGGATGCTCAGCTCCACTGAGCTGGCTGCGGGCTCCCGCAGAGCAGAGCCAGACACCACAGCCCTGAGCCTCACAGGCGAGCGGGCGTCACCTGCTGCGCGAGGGAACTGGCCTGTTTCCCGAACACAGACCTCGTGTGCCTTGTTCACTCTGCTGAACCCTTCGTACTGCCGGGCACTTATTATACATCTTCCTGTGATAACCTTCTTATTTGCCTCTTGACGACCACCTCACGTGGCCAATAAATGGACCGGGAGCGTTTTAGCTGCCATTAACCTGACCACCTCTCCGTCATTGTTTCTGGCCGGGCTGTGGAGGGAGGTCCTGCAGGCCCCCTGCCTCCCACTCACAAGTCCCTGGGGCATGTGACTGAGTGTCAGGTAGTCACAGGCTCTTTCACCTCCCAGTGAAGCCCTTCAGCCAGGCATGTGCACCTTGCTGCTCTTTCTCCTTAGAGCGGCTGGTAGCCCATGCAGGGACAGGGACCTAGGGATGTGCTCACACCCTCCCCACATGCTGGGAAGCACCCCACCCTCAGCAGCTCGTTTCTGCCTCACACTACCTCCCTGTCCCTGGAGCCTGCTGAAGGCGAACCTAGAGGCCAAGGCTGGAGGGCTCACCCGTAGCCGTGCTACGCTCACTGCTGCTGTGAGCTCCAGGAGGCAGACCCTAAAGCCACTCTGCTTTTATTTCTCCTTGTTATGGAGATCACGGTTACATAGTTGTGTGGTTTGCGGAGTGATGTGGCCACACGCTTAGGTGGTGTGGTGACATCCTGGACTGACTCACCTCTACCAATTCTCTCCCATGCTCTCCCCTTAACTGCCCTCTGTGACGGGGCAGCCTCAGTCTTTCCTAACCAGGGTTACTGTGTCTTTTTTTTTTTTTTTTTTTTTTTTTGAGACGGAGTTTCGCTCTTATTACCCAGGCTGGAGTGCAATGGCGCGATCTCGGCTCACCGCAACCTCTGCCTCCTGGGTTCAGGCAATTCTCCTGCCTCAGCCTCCTGAGTAGCTGGGATTACAGGCATGTTGCCACCATGCCCAGCTAATTTTTTGTATTTTTAGTAGAGACGGGGTTTCACCATGTTGACCAGGATGGTCTCGATCTCTCAACCTCGTGATCCACCCGCCTCGGCCTCCCAAAGTGCTGGGATTACAGGCTTGAGCCACCGCGCCCGGCTTACTGTGTCTTTTGACCTTTTTTTTTTTTGAGATGGGGTCTCGTTCTGTCGCCAGACTGGAATGCGGTGGTATGTTCTCTGCTCACTGCAACTTCCACCTCCCAGGTTCAAGCAGTTCTCCTGCCTCAGCCTCCCGAGTAGCTGTGACTACAGGTACACGCCACCACGCCTGGCTAATTTTTGTATTTTCTTTTACTTTTTTTTTTTGAGACAGAGTCTTGCTCTGTTGTCCAGGCTGGAGTGTAGTGGCATGATCTTGGCTCACTGCAACCTCTGCCTCCCAAGTTCAAGCAATTCCCTGCCTCAGCCTCCTGAGTAGCTGAGATTATAGGCATGCATCACCACACCTGGCTAAGTTTTTGTATTTTAGTAGAGACAGGGTTTCACCATCTTGGCCAGGATGGTCTTCAACTCCTGACCTCATGATCCACCTGCCACAGCCTCCCAAAGTGCTGGGATTATAGGCATGAGCCACCGCACCTGGCCTAATTTTTGTGTTTTCAGTAGAGACGGGGTTTAACCACGTTGGCCAGGATGGTCTTGAACTCTTGACCTTGTGAGCCACCCCCTTCAGCTTCCCAAAGTGCTGGGATTACAGGCGTGAGCCACCGTGCCTGGCGGCTTTTGACTTTTCAAACTAAGAAGCAAATAGTTTTATTTTATACACAGGCTGTGGATCTGGCATGTGACTAGGGTTTTTGGACCCAGGGAGAGGTCAGTCTCAGGACAAGCACATGGAAGAAGGGAGCGCTGGCTCACCCCATCATAGTCCAGGGGGCTCCCAGGTTTGTGCTGAGAGTTCCTGTTGGGCATGCCTGGGGTGAGGCCACTACCATGTCCTTTCTTGAGGACCCGATGCTACTGGGAAAAAACTCAGCCACCAGTGAAGAGAGCTGTCCTTGTCTGGATGCTCACTTTTGCCTCAGCTTTTTGATGAAGGAAACCTCGTCTCGATTCCGGATGCCGTAGCTGAAAAGGAAAGGTGTAAAGCACCCGCCCTACAGAAGGACACGTCTGTGACCCTCCTCCTGAGGCTTGTGGGGGACTACAAAAGAACCACAGAGGGGAGGCATGTGGCCGCTGGGAAGGCGAGAAGACGGTAGTGGCTGTCCTCCCACAGACCCTGAAGCACTGGCGGGGCAGCTCTTGGCCTCCACGCCCACTCTCATTTCCTCCCTCCGGGCAATGTGTAGCCCTGAGCTGCCACTGGTGGGAAGCAGCAAGGCCCCTCCAGGTGCCCCCTGCCTGCCAATCTCCTAGTGGAGAGGGCCCCAAGGAAGCTCCTTGGGGGAGGGAGTCTCTCCAGAGAGGGGGCCGCAGCCCTCTGGCAGGGGATGGGGGACTAGGGGACCATACAACAGATGTCCCCCTACAGCCTAAGGTGTGGCTGGCACTTACTCTCGAAGCTTCTTTCTATCTTCTGTGAGCTTCTCTCCTGCAGAGGTCAGATGGTACGTCCTCCACACATAGGACCTGGAAGTGGGTGACTCAGGTAAACCACAGGCCCTGACCATGACGTGGGCTTGAGGCATTCAGCGCTATGGGGCCTGGGGCAGCTGTCCTCTCTCCCTGTGCTGTTCTATACAGTCTGAGGCAGCTGCAAGGAGGCTGTGTTCTCAGAGGGCTGCACGGGGCGGCGCGGCCAAACGACACTCGCTAATGCAACAGGTGGCAGTGCTGAGATTCAGCAAACAGGATACCTGATCCAATAGGAGAGTGAGGGCTGACAGCACCCAGGTGAGAAGGGGATGGGAGCCATTACAGGTGTACCATCCGTAACTACGGAGGCCACTTCCAGACACCCTGGAAATACCCTACGGTGTCCCCAAGTGAAGATAACCCGGCAGCCTGGATGGGGTGATGGTGATGAAGGAACAGTGTGCTGGGAACGGCCAAGGCAGGAGCCCCAGACACAGAGGGGTCCGCACTGTCCAGACGCTTGTGACAGGGAGCGTATCACTTCAATGGTGCTGTACTCATGTGGCGCTGAGAGCTGTTTCCTGGTGGTGCCCGGTGACAGTGCCAAGAAGGGCACATGCCCCAGGAAGGGCTATCATGAAGGGACTGCTGTTCCACTTACCAGCTGATGTGCTGAATGCCCCCTTCACGCTCCTGCTTGAGCTGCATGTATCTCTGGATGGCCTTCTTCAGGTCCAGGACCGTGGCACTCTGCACTACAACCACAGCTGCAACCATGGGCACAGGTGGGAGAAGACCCATGGTGAGAGCCCAGCGCCACAGCCTCCCATGGCAGAAAAGGAACCCGGAAGCTCTATGTGCGGGGCAGGTGTGTGGTTGCCCCAGTACCCCTGGGCATGGCCTGTGAGTTTCTGGGCAGGCTGAGCAGCCTGGTTACATCTTGCTGCTGTGAAAGCCTGGAGCATGTAACCTGAAGGAGGAGGGTGGCACTCACGCATTACTTCTCCATCCATCTTGCACACTCGGACCGTCATTGCCTGGCCATATTCTAGGGCTATTTGGGAGTTGACTTCTTCCAAAGTAACCTAGAAAAGACCAAGAGCAGAAGTGGGAACTGGCTCTGTTTACCACCTTGAACAACAAAGAACAAGCTGATAATGGCCAAAAAGTGGTGCTCCATTTTATGAAGGGCAAGGAAGGGAAGATGTGCTTCCCTACACATTAGGGTTTCCCAATTCAACAGAGCCCTAATTCATGTTCCACTCACATTTTAATTTAATGTCCAAAGTGGACAGTCTCTTGGGGAACAAGAGAGTACACTCCCATGAGGATCCACCCCAGGGGGTGGGTAGGGGCCTGACTGTCAGTTCACCTGAGTATCCCTGATCATCAGGACCCAGGCTTGGGGTAAGGCAGGTATGGGAAATTTACCAGGGCAGCAAAAAACGGTATTAACTATAAATATTTTAACACAACATTTAAGAAGTACAAGGCATTGAGGCTGGGCATGGTGGCTCACGCCTGTAATCCAAGCACTTTGGAGGCCAAGGTGGGCGGATCACCTGAGGTCAGGAGTTCAAAACCAGCCTGACCAACATGGTGAAACGCCATCTTTATTTAAAAAAAAAAAAAAAAGTACAAGGCAATTAAAAAATCCATGATGAGCAAAATATAAAACATTTAGAATTGGCCGGGCGCGGTGAGTCATGCCTGTAATCTCAGCACTTTGGGAGGCCCAGGCGGGCAGAGCAGGAGACTGAGACCATTGTGGCCAACATGTTAGATCGAGCTACTGCACTCCGGCCTGGCTCTTGTCTCAAAAAAAAATAAAAACATTTAAACAAAGACAGTATAGTGCCAAAGCATATTGATGCTTAAGGCAAATGGAACAATTAGTACTACGAATCTTGCTCTTGTTTAAAACTAGATATTTTTTTTTAACTGTAGGCTTTTTTTTTTTTTTTTTTTTTTTTTGAGACAGAGTTTCGCTCTTGTTACCCAGGCTGGAGTGCAATGGCGCGATCTCGGCTCACCGCAGCCTCCGCCTCTGGGTTCAGGCAATTCTCCTGCCTCAGGCCGGGCGCGGTGGCTCAAGCCTGTAATCCCAGCACTTTGGGAGGCCGAGGCGGGTGGATCACGAGGTCAAGAGATCGAGACCATCCTGGTCAACATGGTGAAACCCCGTCTCTACTAAAAATACTAAAAATTAGCTGGGCATGGCGGCGCGTGCCTGTAATCCCAGCTACTCAGGAGGCTGAGGCAGGAGAATTGCCTGAACCCAGGAGGCGGAGGTTGCGATGAGCCGAGGTCGCGCCATTGCACTCCAGCCTGGGTAACAAGAGCGAAACTCCGCCTAAAAAAAAAAAAAAACTATTACAGGTCGGCAGGGTGGCTCATACCTATAATCCCAGGATTCTGGGAGGCCGAGGCAGGAGGACCGCCAGAGCCCAGGAGTTTGACACCAGCCTGGGCAACATAGTGAGACCCCCTCTCTACAAAAAATTAAAAAATTAGCTGGGCGTGGTGTCGCGCACCTGTGGTCCCTATTACTCCGGAGGCTGAGGTGGCAAGATGGCTTGAGCTCAGGAGGTCCAGGCTACAGGAAGCCGAGATCGCGCCACTGCACTCCCAGCTTGGGCGACAGAGCATGGCCCTGTCCCCCAGACCCCTAAATACAA